GTTATTATTATTATTATTTTTATTTTTATTATTATTATTATTATTGTTATTATTGTTATTATTATTATTATTATTATTATTGTTATTATTATTATTATTATTGTTATTATTATTATTATTATTATTATTGTTGTTGTTGTTATTATTATTGTTATTATTATTATTATTATTGTTATGTGTATTTCCTTGTGGTATGTGTTTGGGAGTAATGGGATTTGGAAGGGTTGGTTTGTCCACCTTGATTAATTTCAATAATAAAAAGGGGTAATAAAAGACAATGTGATTAATTTTTTGTACATGATGTGTTGAGAATGATATGAGTACTAGTGTTATAATGGAAAGATTTATTACTATAGAATGTGGATTGTGATCCTAGAATGTCAAAGCATATGGACATTAACTGATATATTATTGATTTGATTTATTATGTCTGATTGTGTTCTTTATTGAACCCGTATAATTGTGATAATTTAAGTGATTAAAGTGGACCGATTTAGATTTCTAAAATCAATCCTTTTTTTATTTTTTGTTTTTAGTTATATGTGTGAATATGTAAATCAATCTGCTTCAACTAAAATCAAATAAGGGGGTAACACTAACATTAATTTTATTACTTTATTGTCATGTCATGTTAAGAAAATTCTAAATCTTGTACCGGTAGTCTTTTTGTTAGGTGGATATATGAGTTCGTTTTGTCATTTTCATTTCATCATCTTTGTTCTTATTGTCATAAAATTATTAAAGACCTCGATATCTTAATGGGTAAATTAAGAATAGTAGATGTAGGGCCAACTTTATGCTGTGTAAAACAAGGCCTTAGCCTTAGGCCTCAAATTTTGGGGCCCCAAAGTTTTGTCAAGAATAAATTATAGATTAATTTATAGAAAAAATTGATTATTTATGATAAAAAGTATAATTTTTTAAAATATATTATTTTATTCTTAACATCTTTTGTACTTTGTAAAAAATAAGAATTAGTAGTGAAAAGTGTTGAACAAAGTGAATTACAAATTTTTTTTTATTTCTTTTTAAATTTTTGTTTCAAGGATTGTTACAAGCATATTTAAATGAGGTATACCATGTCATCAACTTCTTGGATCAAATTCTGTGGTTTCAAATCTTATCTTTATTTAATATTTGTCAATTTATTACTTATAACATTATGTTAAAAATACATATAATAATTGTCTCACTAAAATAATTTTTTTTAATGTGGAATTGATAAAATCTTACCTAAACTAATAGCTGAGAAAACAACATTAAATACTAGCAATTTTCATCTAAATGGTGTAAGAAAATAAATTTTGACTAAATACGTATATAAAGTTTATATTTATTTTAGGCCGCGAAATGAAATTCCACTTTAGACCCCCAATTATGTTGAGCCGCCCCCGAGTAGAAGGACACTATTAGAGAGTTTGATTTATTTAGGTTTTCTATTGAAGTAGCGTCAATATATGTTATAGTGAAGATACCTTTTGACACCAAATTTTGATCCACCGCGAGTTGATTAATTTTTAAGCTTCTTAAATATTGAACAATCATATATATATATATATAAAAGAATAAAGTGGTAGGACTATCAAGGGTAAAAATGTAATTTCATTCTAACAAAAATGTATTAAGAAAGATAGTAAATAATTCTAGAAACATCTTTTTATATATTAAGTGAATAATGATCAAGTGTAAAAATGTAATTTCTGCTAACAAAAATCTATCAAGAATGATAACAAGAAATCAAATAGTTCTAGAAACATCTTTAGTTATTGTTATTATAATTAATTTGTTTTGTTTACTTCATTTTTTTGTGAGT